ACATTTAACTTTCATCAGCTCCCAAATCAAGAGCAAGGGCTGGTAGTCCAAAACATCTAGAGAACATCACAATTGTTTGACATCGCCAACAAACTTGAACCATCAGAGTCTTTTGAGTAGCATGGATAAACAGACATAAATTGAAAATAGCCTTGGTGTACATTATCTTCAGAGGTTCCTTCTTTCCCAGATCAATCAAACGTTCTCCAGTTATCAGGAGTTGTCCAATTATTATTTTGGAAGAATAAGAGCTTAATTGAACAATTAAAAATGTGTTGCCACAGAACATAGACTCTTGAGGATTTTCACAGTGCATTTAAGATATGGTTTGATTAAACCCAGCTTGCTAAAGAAACTACAACTCGCTGGATTCACACACACACATACACACACAACACACAGCACCAAGCCACAGTTTTCAAAAACTAGGGTGTATATATAGAATAAGTCACAACTGGCTGGGTTTGTGTGATAGACTGAACTCATGTCAAAGTTCAGTACAATGTGTGAATCCAGTCTGGATTTTATTGAGAATTGGTGGCCATGAAGTCAGAATCAGGCAATTTTTATGAAGAAAAGCTGGTGGCTGGATCTGAATTATTTAAACAAATCTTGCAACGGCATTCAGATATCTAGATGTGGAATTCAATCAACCCATTTTCACATTTACGTTATTTTTTGGGGGGAAATGTATTTCATCTGCAGTTGTTTAAAGCTTTGTTCTCCCTGCCTGAATTAACAAGAGATGGATATATTTTTTAAAAAGGAAAATGAATAGAACCGAGCATGTGTCCTTTCCAGTCACATGTTTTGTCCCTCTTTCTGACATCTTTCAGCATGTTTGAAGCATGATGCCTCCTTCTTCCCCTCTCCTGAAAACATCTCATTCTTCATTTAGTTTAGGATGGTCTCCTTGGATGACAGAATCTAATGATGATAAGCCACACAACCCCCCAAAGAGAAAGCTGGATCATCTCCTGGGCTTTCTTGACTGATCATGAATGAGCAGCTGAATGGATCATCCTTTTAGACCTGAAACTCATGGTCCTTCCTATTGGGTTGGTGATGTATCTGCAGATATCCACAGTGAAGAGGAACAGGTGTGGCTTTCTGCAAACTCAGGAAGAATTATATTGGCTTTCATGGGTGGTGGAAAACTCAAAGACCAAAACCCCAAGTCCCACCTCATTCCCATGTGTGGTAAGTTCTGAAACCTTTTGCCTGCTTCGTGATGATCCTCAACATGATCAGAGAACATCTCATGAGGCTCTGCTTGGACTTGGCCAAGACAACTCATTTGCAGACAACCAGGAAAAGAGTTATGGGCTGGTAGATCCATTTGATCACCTGGAGGAAGGAAAGAGCTTGTTCTTCCTTGTGTCTAAGGACAAGGTTCTCCTTCTGTTGCCACCACGAGGGTGGCTGCTTCTGGCTTGATCACTGCCCCAGAGGCTTCCCTTCTTCTTGATCTCTTCTCATCTCAAGTCAGTCCAACGAGACCTCACAGGGGTTCTCGTGAGCCTGCCGCGCCTCCTCGTAAATGCGGATGAAGTCTTTGTACCGGGGAGCGCAGGTGAGCCAGGCCTCAGCAAAGTGCATCCACCCAGTGAATAAAAAACTGCCCGGACCGGGCCTCACCCCACATCGTAGCAGGGTGTGGATGCTGCCTGTGGATTTTCCAGATTTGCCAAGCGGTTGAAACAGAGCGAACTTCTGCCGGTGGATCCGAGTGGCACTCACGCCGATGATCGATTCTTGGGCTTCCCTGTCATTGGAGACGGCCTTGATGTTGCCACGGATAACTGCAAGAAAGGTTGAGGGGGGAGGCAGAAGGGAAAGTGCTCATAAAGGAGATTCAACAATGATTCAATCCCCCCCACCCTTTTATAAGGTCATTTCAAGCAGTAACCCAGGAAACAGAATAGCAGATCAGGTCCAGGTGATTCCAGGCTTAAAGGCTAAGCTATGGCGAGCCTTGATCAGAGTTTACTGAATGTATCCCCACTGGCATCGGTTCACGCCACTCTCTAAACTGGTGTTTTTCAAACTTGGCCACTTTAAGAGGTATGGACTTCATCTCCCAGAATTCCTGGTTGGAATTTGAAAACTAGTGCCCTAAACCATGAGCCATGTTTTCCAAGCCACAATGGCTAAGTTCACAAGAATTGCTGGACATAAGCTCAAGAGTTAAAAGAGTAATTTATTTATTTATTTATTTATTTATATTTGGATTTATATCCCGCCCTTCTCCCGTAGGACTCAGGGCGGCTGACAATCAAATTAAAATACATATATAACAATACAAGTTTAAAATTAATTAAAAGGAATATTTAAATATTTGTCAAATTTAAAATATAATTAAAACCCCTCTAAAAGTTGCCCTAGGCCAGTCCTGC